TTACCAGATAATAATTTAAAAATGTATATAAAATATAAATATAAAAAAATATATATATAAAAAAATATAAACCTCGCGCCGGCTCATTACCGCGTATGGGGAGCGTCCCACGGGTGGCGGATGTCGGGATGGTCGGTGGAAATTCCTTGGAAGTTCCTCCCGGCTAAGTCCGATGGACTCGCTGACCAACAATGAGACGGCCCTCCAGACTTGCTGGAGGGAGGGGACCTCCAGACTTTCTGGAGGTAGGGGCCCACCAGACTTGCTGGAGGGTGTGACGTAGGATTGAACGCCCTACTCACATATCTTTAGTTCACCAAACACCACAAATAGTCATGGATAGCGATTGGTGGTGTCTGCATCGAACCTTCGGGTTCGCTAAGCCTTTCTATTATTATTATTATTATATAAAATATAAAATTTCTTTTATAACAGAGTCGACCTAAGGTAGGACAAGGTTATGCTCGCCATCCGCTTATAGGTAATTGAAAAAAAATACAAAGCGTGTAGAATAAATTAATTTATCCTATTAATAAAGCAAATGAATTAGAGATATATTGAATTCAATACAATTCCAATATTCTTCGTTTTCTTCCTCCATGTACCTTTTCACTAGCGGATCCAGGATTTAATTTTGGGGAGGCTTCAGCTCGAAAGTTTTTTTTCTTCATATATATACAACAATAATTAATTTGAAAAACAAATAAAGAAATTAACTTACCTGTATGAAATGGTGGTTGAGTAGTTCTTGAAGTCCTATTAAATGTAATAACACGAACAAGAATACTTTCAGAAATACTTTTTAATATTTTTTCGGTTTGGGGGGCCATTTTTGGGGGGCTTCAGCCCGAAAGCCCTCCCCCGGTAGATTCGCCTGTGTACCTTTCAATACTAAAGCTGAAGTATTGAAGCTTTAGTTCTACTTTTTATTTTTATTATTTTATGTTGTTTCCCTTTATTTGATAGAAAAAAAAACAGCATAGATAAAATGTAAGCATAACATTCGTACATATAACATGCGAATTTAAATTTATATATATGTAGTCTCATTTGGGCAAGATTTTTTCCTCTTTTTTCTTCCAGTTTGCAGACATATTCATTATGTGTAATTCCAGATCTTCCCCGCAGTCTCCTGTCTTAAGATATACCCTCCAACACCTTCATTCTGCATACACGTTCGAACCACCGCAACTGACGTTTGTGTAAGCAGTGCCGGCCTTAGACATTCGGCTGAACGGGCATTGACGTCATCTCCCCTTTAAGAAAAATTCTTTCTGAAGCTGTTCTATATTATGTGTTTTATTGATAAGTGGAGAGTACTCCTGATGATCGGGGCCCTCAACTAAATTTGCCCGGAGGATGATGAACGTTGACTGGGAAGACTGCAGTCAAAAAATATATGTGTATATATAGTAAAAAGAAATAATAAAAAATAAATTTATGGAAAAAATAAATTTAAATAATTATTTTCACTATTTTTTTTTTATTTATTTTATTTTATTTTATTTTTTTTTTAACTTTTTTTTTACTGGTCACCCTAACCATCCGTCTCTTCAATTATTCACTACAGTCAACTATCAATCCAATATTATATCAATAATGACATATTAGATATTATAATTTTAAAAACCCATCGTCACATCCATCGCTATTAAAGGTTAACATAGGCGACAAAAACGGTTGTTGGGGTCTCCTGCTTTACATTTTTCTAGAAATAATCGATGATCGCAATTCTGTAATTTTAATAAAAATGTAACTGTAATTTTTTTTTCAAAAGCTAACACGCTATCCAGGATTTTTAACAAGGATTAGTCACGTAAACAAAGCCATAAATTTTACCCTTTTCGGATATCGAATATATTTTAGACGTTGAGAAATGAGCTTACCCCAATTAACTATTAATCTCTAGCCACCTTTCCGATTGTTCGGGACATTATCTCCAGATAGCGCTGTATATTAATTGCATGGGAGGCAGCGAATGGTGGTAGGGTATGCAAAGTATCCCTGTCCCCGTTATCTTCAATTTCTAGATTGAATCGTCGCGTGCGAAACATTATTTAATTCAGTAAGGTGAAGCGGGCGAAATTATTTCACATAATACTGTATCAATCGCCTGGGAAGTTCTGATGATTTTTCTGTTTTTGTCAGTATTTTTTTTTTTAAATAATTCTTAATACATCACGGCTTTCAACGACATTTTTTTCCTGCTGGATCTGGCTAAAAAAATGCATCTGTTCTAATAAGCTCTAGAAATTTAACTTAAATTTATTTATTAAACACTAATCAATAAAAAATTAAATAAATGATAATAATTGCACAATCTGTAATAATGGTAGTAGTAGTAATAGTAGTTGCTATACGTAATCTTTGAACAGTCACGAAGTATAAATAAGAGTCTGTACTACAGTTTTCTGTTTACTATATCCACTATTAGAATATCTCTGGAGTGGTAGACGTGTGAAAAGATTTAACACTCCAAATATGAAACTGTGGACAACTTTCAGATATGGGATGAGATCACACAAGATGAAGTGAAACTCGTAAAACAATCTAAGCAACAAGCGCTAATACTATTTGACGTTGATACTTTTTTTTTTTGGTTTATAACTCTTATATAAGGAATTTTGCTTTATTACTTATGAAAATCTTTCTCATTAATGAATTCTTTGGTAGTTTTTATTTAGCGATTTCTTATTACTATTAACCATGAGGAATTGTTAATTTCAGCTTCGTAAGACAATCCATTCTTGCAGGGGTACCAATTCTCGATCCTCTCTCCCGTCGATGGACCATGGATCCCTTAAAGCTTCCCAAGATATTTTATAGCTCTTCTCATCTTAACTAAATAAAATTACACTATCTCTTATATATTTTTTCCATGTCTCCTGGTTTGAAACTCTTTATTTAGAAAATTCATAACCCTGTCGAAATATGCTCCCCAAAAATTCACAACTCCCCCCTAAATGAACGTCTTTCAAAATGGCACTCTCTTTCTGAGTACCCATATTTTTGAACTAGACTGTTTACATACACATAGACACATTATTTTGCGCGACTTTTAGATATAACATTTAGTTAATTTGCATATTTATCACGATCGCGTTACTTTCACTTGTTGTATATCGCTACTATTAGTGCAAAAGGCCGTATGTAACACTTTTGCATGTTTATTCTATTTGTGCTAAAGTTGACATTTTGTGGTCTGCAACAGCGATTAGTAGTCTGCTACAAGGGAAATTAGCTGAGGGGGGAAAAAATATAAAATTATACTAATAAATCATTAAGAAATAATCAATGAAGTAATAAAAGTCAAATTTTACATACGACCACTTGTACTAACAGTGGCGATGTTTCAAATATGCAGTCGTAGATATAGAAATTGCATCACTTATTTTAATCACTGCATCGCTACTCGAAAAAAAAAAAATAACTGCCGCTTTCAGATACGAAATGTATTATTTGACACGCATATAGTTTAACAATTGCGAGTACGATTTGATCCAAACTTGGAAGAAATTTTGGGAATGGTGTAAAAATTATATAGCACCAATTTCATTGAATTCCATTAAATAATTAAAATTAATATAAATAATTGTTAATAATAGAAGGGCTCTGAAATGTGGAAGGCATTGATCATATGGAGTGGGTGTTAGGTTAAGACAATACTTTTATTGTCTTAACCTAAAAGTAATCTTCAGTAAATTTAAATTAATTTTTACTCTGAGTTTGTAAAAAAGAAAAATCTTATTTGTGATTGTGTTTATTTCTATTAAAGTTCAACCAGCTTGTCGTGGATTCGATTTCCTCCTAAAATATACAAAGTTATATGAACTTCACGCACATTTTTATATTTCAACTTAATTAGATTTGTTCTTACTGACGAAAAGTATTGGCCTCCATAACTCCGAACAAACAAAAAGTTGAATTTTTCTTATAGATTTTTTGTTCCAACCATGTTACGTGTGAAAACATACCATATTAAATATATAACAGAACTGTTAGTGCAAAAGATCGTAAATAAAATTTTATCATTTATATTTAATTTTCGCTGAAGATGACAACTAATATAGATGGTCTGCCACTGTGTAATATAACAAAGGAAAATAAAATATGAAATTATACTAATTAATCTTAAAGGAATAATTAGTTTTTATACTCTCCCGTAAAACAATCGATATTTACATACAACCTTTTTCACTGACAGCAGCGATATGCATGTTCAGTATGTACTGAGATTTTTTTATTTAATCACGAATCATCAAATTCGCAATTTGAAAATGTGTAACTCTTCCTCATTTCAATATTCGCTGGTGAACAAAATTTGTGGATAACAAACCCGCGAATGATGAGAGATTGTTGTATTTCCGAAAATGTCTTGTTTCGGAGAATTTATTCTCATACGAACAATTATAAACCTTGAAATATAGATATTGTTTATGCAATAAGGTGAAGTGAGGAAGCTATACTTACTTGGCAGACGTGTTTTTGCATCCTAATTACCGCAATTAAGGAAGCATTATATTTCTACGAGAGGTCAGTGTCTGTCTATCTGTTGTCATATCGATGTAACGGGCATATCACCTGCTATCGTTCATCCGATTTGTATAAAATGTTCACAGATTGTGCGGGATTAATGTTAAGGCAGATACAAAAAATAATTTTGTATTGGCCTTTGTACCTTGGCCTTTGTAAGGTGAGTGGACCCATCAGTCATTTAAAAAAAAAAAATGTTATCAGGATTTTAACTAGTTCGCTTAAACTTGTAATGAGTCTTTAAAGAATGAATTTTTCTTCATGTCTAAAATATAATAATCCCTTGGTAATATCTTCTGCAGGAGTGGACCCTTTGATCCTCGATGAAGACTGGCTGTGTTTTCCTTTTGAAGCCGAGCTCGGCTAAGTCTGGAAAAGAAGGCTGGAGAACTTAGTGGACTGATTAAAGAGGAGCGCTTTGTACCCCCCTCCACCGGACCAGGGGCCACAGTCTGCGGTTGTTTGCGGTGCAGTGAGGTGTGCGGGTCCGCAGTGTATTATTTCTCGTGTATATTTTCACATCTGTAAACATTGAACATCTCCTTTGAGTTGTTGGCAGCCGAAGTGGAAATACAGCTCTTCTAAAAGTGAGTAATTATCTAATTTTCATGATACAATATAAAAATTCTATTTCGTAATCTACACCACCACACGAGGTAATTTCGATTCCTATTAAAAGTGAATTTTCACCATTAACCATTTCGATAAACATACTTTAATTATAAGTATTTAAAGTGTTTTTCAAGTACAAAATAGATTCATTAAATAACATATCACGCACTTAACGAAAAAATCTCCCTAATTAAATATCTTAATATAATATGATAAATTAATACTTTTGTATTGCTTGTATATTAATACATGTTTACGAAAGGGAAAAATAATCTAGTAAAGAAGGATGTATTTAATAATAATCTCTACCCATGGATGTATTGTTACTGGACCAACGGTTATTCTGGCGAACTGTTTTGTCCTGCAACATTGGCCCGAAATACACTAATTTTTATTATAATTGGTAAATGGTTGACTGTCGTGGACAATGAAGAGAAGAATAGTTGGGTTGGTCAGTCAAAAAAGAAGGCAAAAATAAATGATAATATTTATTTTTACATATGCCGACGTTTCGACCTGAAGTTCAGGCCATCATCAGGGCAAAGAAAAGAAACAGATAACAAGGGATGAGAAACATAAAAATTACAGTAAAATGAATTTGTTAGAATAATGACAATAGTAAGAACAAGATACAAATAATAATAAAGGTACAAAGTGTATTATTTCATACTTTGTCTGTACATGTTGATAGACTTTACAACATTTCAATTTTCTATGTAAATATTCTATTCACTCTATCTTAATTTTACTATTTATTTCCATTTCTTATATAACTTCATATTTTTCTGTTTTATATTTTATTCTAAGATTCCCGTTACAATACTTATGTCACCTTTTTGACTATGTTTACTTCATCATTCCACACTTTATACCTGTTATTATTATTTGTCTCTTGTTCTTACTATTGTCATTATTCTAACAACTTCATTTTTTGACTGACTAACTGATGGCTGACTGATTAACAACTTCTTTTTTGACTGACCACCCCAACTTTTTTTTATTATAATGAGATAATTGAATACAGTTAACAAAACGATTGTTTTTAACTATTACGAGTCTCGTTTAAATACATGATGACTTTTATTTTGTTAGAATGTTACAGATGTTACATACAAATGTTTCTTTTAATTATAGTTCTTACTTTGACAACTTTACTTTTTACTAAAATTACTTCTTAACATTAATACTAACTTTTCTTTACAAAGTAAGCAAAGGATCAACAAACCAAGAATTATTTAAGAGTTTTGTTGACATACATTGATTTGTTTTGTAATTCTCAATTTTCATGTAACGTTTTTTATTTATTATTGAGTAATCCCCTTTCTTTTGTTGTTGTCTAGAGGTGTGAGAGGAAGCAGGTTAGAAAATATATTGTTATCTTATTTTATCTAATTTAATTAAGCAGCTTTAAATAATTTTATAATAACTTTAAACAATAAATAATTAAATTAAATAACCCTAATTTTTGATGTTTTTAAATAAAAAACGTCTGCCAAGAAAAGTCAGTATAGCTTCCTCACCGTTTTTATTGGCTCTATATTTCAAGGTCTATAATTTTTCGTATGAGAAAAAAATCTTCGGAAGAAATCGTTTTGGGAAATACAGTGATCCATCAACATTCGCGGATTTGATATCCAAGAATTTTGTTTATTAGCGAAAAAGCGAATAATTAAAAATGCAGAAAAGTTCCACATTTCCAGATCGCGTATTTGATGATTCGTGAAAAAAAAAATCACTGTACACACTGACATTAATATCGCTATTGTTAGTGCTAAAATTCGTATTTAAACATCAAGTGTTTTACCTTTTTTTATGTTAATAAGAGAACATTTTTATGTTAATTAGTTTTTACTAATTATTTCTTTATGATTTATTAGTATAGTTTCATATTTTATTGCCTTCTGCTATTTTCCATAGTAGCACACTACTTATATCAGTTGCAGACTACAAAATACCACCTTTAGCACAAATAGAATAAAAAATTGAAAAAATATACATACGACTTTTAGCACTAACAGTAGCGATAGATACATATTTTTTTTGATCTTACTAGCTGTAAATTTCAACTTTTTGTTTGTTCGGAATTAACGAGACCAATATTATTATAAAAATATTCCTGAAGTTCATATAACTTCAATATTTATGGAACAAATCGAGACCACGATTGAACTTCAATAGAAATAAACACAATCACAAATAAGATTTTTCTTTTTTACAAACTCAGAGTAAAAATTAATTTAAATTTATTGAAAATTGACACGAGGTAGCGGCAGTGCCATGCCAGTAACGTTTGTAATCGACGAAACAATACAGTATAACTTAACTCTTTGAAGTTAAAATTTTATAACCCCATAAAAATATCGTCTAAACCTAACTCCCAATCCATATAATCAGAGCCTTTCACATTTCACTGCCATTATATTGTTGACAATTATTTATATTAGTTCTAATTATTAAATGGAGTTCAATGAAATTCACAGTAGGTAATTTCTATACTATTCTCCAAGTTTGGGTCAAATTGAACGCGCACTTTTCAAACTAATATAGCGAAAATGAGAAAGATAAAGTAATATTTCCGTGGTCTTAAAAGGCCGTTTCGTGAAAACAAAAAAATCACTCACTGAACATTGAAAAAAAAAAATCTTTGAAAAACGAAAGTATGCACAACAGTAACTTCAACTTGAGCAGATTACTTACCTCGTATATCGATAAATCCATAAAGTGGCTTCTGTTTGTTTCACATGATTAAGGCAGCCCACTTTATGACGCCAGCGATTCATCGTTCCCAACAATTATTATAATGTTATTATGCGTAATTTTACTGATTGCTATTTATTATGAAACACTCATTAAACAAATGAATTTTGTTCGTTTGTATCCATTTTTTAATTACTTTCCCTATATTCATTATTATGTGAGGTATACTGGGTCCGTGAATGTTTTTTTTGGAGCGTTCTAGCGGCAAAACTGCTGATCCAGTGATTGTCAACTTTTTTTTTTTTTTTGTTGCACACTTCAACCATTGCAAAATTTGGCACCACTCAAAGAAAAAGATTTTTTTTTATTATTATTTATGAAATTTACAACTGTACATTTAATATGCATCCAGCAAATGTGATACATGACATGACAAGGCTTGTAGAGAATCTACCCATTGGTAGCACTCTAATAAAGTTTCTAAATTAAGATATTATGAGGCCACCTTCTTTTCAGACGCCGAGGAGAGTTATCAGGAATCGAGGAGGAAGCAAGGTTAGAAACGAGAGGATTAGAATGGTTCTGAAGTTTATTATGGAAGGATAGGTATCTGGATTGGGCCAAATCGGAAACATATGAAACATACAGGTCATTATGGATTATTTTATTTGATACAAAGTAAGGAACATAAAGGATTTTGGATTGTAAAGATTGGATACGAGAGAAATTCGATGGTTTAGTGGAGCCCCAAAGCCCCACTCCAAGTCCAAATAGGTCTTATTATGGTCATGTACATGGGTCTTTTGTAATTAATTGAAAGGTTAGAGTGTCTGTGTAGTAAGTGCTGAACTAGTATCGAGCGGCTTCTTGTCGTTTCAGTCTAGTATGAGGATTCCAAGTTAGACGTTTGTTCAGATGGAATCCTAGGTATCGGATTTGCTCAACAGGGATAAGTGAGGAATTATTAAATAATACTGTAGGACAGGAAGTCATAGGTTTACGACGAAGGGTAGAAAAAGATAAGTTTAAAAGTTGTTTACTTACCTATAATACACTGTGTAAAATAGCTTATGATAACAGTTTTGAATGTAAAAAAATATGTATTACATAAACTGCAGTATGTTGATGAGGGATTAATTACAAGTAAATAATAAGAATATTTTTAATAATTTGAGATTGATTTTTTTTCTTTAATATACATTTCCAAAATTTTGCGGCGCAAAAAAATGCCGTGGTACACTTTCATAATTTCGCGGCACACAAAAATGCCACGGCACAGTAATTGAGAATCACTGGGTTAGTCTTTATAATAATAACGAAGAAAAACGTTATTTATGAGAGATGTACTTTTATATAATATAGATTGTATAATGTAATAAATTGTTAAACAGTTAAGAATCACAGAAAGGGCGAATTTCGCTAAATCGATAAATTTCACTAGATATGGAAATATATATCATCTTTTGGACGCGCTCTAGCGGCGAAACGGTTAGTCTTACAAAAAAACGTTTTGTATAAGAAATGTAGGGTTTTGTCTACTTAATTTTGTGTAGAATGGGTTTGTCGAAAAAAAAAGGCTTCCTATTTGGGATATAGGGCGAAAACTGCAAGAAGTCCTAAAATTTATTCAAAAAGTGCCCAAAAAACAATGTTTCGGGCAAAAGTTTTGCCAGTAAACTTCAAATTCGTGTTCAGCGACCAAAAAAAAAACATTAAGAGTGAGAAGATCAAAACTATAACAAAACTTGTTTCTGAGCCTCTCTTTTTTTTTGCTTACATGCCTAGCCTAAGACAGTTTATGGATTTTTTCTTTAGACTTACTTCCGTTCCTTTTTTTGATCTAGCCACTTGCAGTTACTTCACATATATAGTTTTTAGTATTTATAACAGAGTTTGAAACTAAACCTTTGGAAGTTCAGGAGAAATAAATTACGAACCATAATAATATTAATTAATTAAAGATTCTATTTTAAGATGTGAATTATTTGGAAAAGTAAAAGAAAATGAAAGACTAATACAGTGAAAATCCACCATAACTTTACAATGCTTCGCCAACCTTTTGTTTCCTTTCTTTTTCTTCCTCAGTTGATTTCAATCAATGACAACCCTTAAATCAGCCGGGGAGCAAATCATATTAAATTCGTTGCAAGCAGCTGCCTTCCCCTCCCCTCTCCCTCCCAATCCTCTGCCCTGATTTCGGTTGAAGCCGATGAATTATTCAAATCTTTGAAGGATCACCCCCTCTCTTGTCTTGTTATTGATAAACAATTCAATTATT